AAGAAAAATGTTCTCAGCATGAATATTTCATTTTCCAGTATTTTAACAGATGTTTTGCCATATTTTTCTCTCTCTCTTGCCAGCTCCTCTTACCAGTTACATTTCCATTAGTGATTCCAGCCCTTGTATACTGAGCAAAATGAAAAAGGACATATTTACCAAAATTCTCCTTCTGAGGAAGAGATGGCTGCAGTGATTTTACCCACTAGCTAATATCTCAGTTTCTCCACTGGGCACTATCCCCCATACTCTCCAGGACTATTCCTCAGCATTAAGAACGTTAAATTAGTTCAATGCAAATACAACTTGCAGTAGGGGACTGTGCATCTCCAGTGGTTGGCCTGCATAGGAGGATAAGGATTTATTACACCTGCCATGTAGAGGTTCCTCCTTCACTGCAAAGTGATAAGCACATAGGTCTGAGTAACATAGGGTAGCTTAATCCAGGTGTGTGCAGACATACTTGCAAAGCCATACCCCATTTACTTTATCCTTATTGGTGGTATGGTTCCTTCTAAGTGGCTAGGACTTCTAAGGGCACATGCCTCTTGCAGCAAGCTGAGTCACTCTGTGAATCTTTCCCTGTGAAATGTGAGAGAACTCAGCCCTTCTGGGCACACAGGGGAGCTTTGGGGAGGCACTGGTGGAGTGAGAAAGTTGCAAAGTGAGAAAACATACCCTGAGCAATATCCCATTCTTGTGGCTGGCAGCAGTCCCTAGGCAGAGGGGGTTCTGTATGCAGGCAGCAGGGGATTAGGGGAACATCCAAATAAGAGTCCAAGTTAACTTAGGCAGACAAGGATCTTTGGGTAAATCAGATATCTTTTATTAGACCAACTAAATAAGTTAACTTAGTGAATTCTTGTCTACGCAGGGAAGAGAATTCCTTGAGCTCAAGCAGTAGAGATTCATGCTTTTAGTGCTGAAGGCCCTAGGTTCAAAATCTAGAGGGATGGTGCTAACAACACAGTTTCCACAGTATTGTAAAGCTCCTACTGTTTGCTGTATAAATCCTTTGCTTCGTTTCAAGTAGGACTCTCCCACTGACCATCTCAAAAGCAACAGATATAGCCCAAACATATAACCCGCTCTTCCATAACTTAAATGAGGATTTCTGCAGCAAGCTGTTCATGTAGTTATACATATGTTTGCGTACAAAGGAGTGCCTACATTCATGTTAAGTTCAGTCTCTGCCAATTATCCTCTCTCAGGGTGAACTTTTGATGTGAAAATTGTCAAAACAGGGAATGCTACAAGACAGCTTTTACTTCAGACAAAGCACATATTTGCAGCAAGACAAGTGCTAACCAAGGACCCAAAGGGAAAACGATTGCATTACAGAAAAAGGCTGCAACATAATACCTTGGAATCTGAGACCAATGTAACATGGCCTAACAAAGGGCAATTAAATATTGGATTTTTTTCCTTATGTTGTACACAGAACCTTGATGCACGTGGCAGATGAAAATCCCATTATCAGGTAGTACGCAAGGGCTACAATCAGAAAATGAGGGGTTTTTGTCCTAGGTGCCATACACTCATGAGCATGTAGGACCAGCTTCAAAAGGTGCTGGCCTCATCTCTCCTGCTGACTTCCATCAATGCAACAGGGGCCTTCATCAAAGTGCTGGGCACAAGTTTTAAATTTTACTAAGAATTAAATCCAAAAAATGGAATGATGAAAATACTGACACAAAAAGTGCAGATTCTCTTCTGATTACCTGGTGTGTCGGATAATGGAAGAGAAACGAAAGGATCAGGCACAGTCAGAAGCGGAGGGCTAGTGTCCAAACTCAGAATATCTTTCGTTTTTTCAGCTGGATAAGCAGGAAGAGTCAAGCAGCAGAGAAACAACAGGGGAGGAAAAGAAAAAGGCAAAATGTCAAGCAGAAAC